TGTGTTGACAGCTGTCAGTCACCTTGGAGCAGGACTTCTGGGGCTCTCCATGCGTCACCTGCAGAAATGGGCACATGCGCCCAAGAGAAGACAATGAGGCAATTGGGAGCTGAAACAGGCCCACCGCACCCACTTCCTGCCTGGCTAGAACTTGGGGTTCTTCCCCCGGACAGCAGCAGGAAGCACAGACAGAAATTGGGTTGGCTCAAGGAAAATGACGTTGTGGGAGGCTGCTCTGGCGGGTCGGGAGACCAAGGTTTTATTTCCAGCTCTGCCAGGGACCAGCTATGGGACTATCATAGTGACTTCGATATTAAAGAGAGGCAGACAAGAACTTGAAGGTTAACTCTGAGAATCTCCCCATCACACGGATGAGGAAACTGAGGCCCAGGAGAAGTGGCTGCCCAAGCGTCTCACAACCGGATGGTGACAGGAGACTGATTTTACCTCTTCAGTAACCAGACCCAAACTCCTCAGCCTTCTTCACTATGTTACAAGGCCAAGCCTTCGCCTTCTCTCCATCCACAGCTCCCGACGGCCTTCCCGGGATGGCCGAAGTCCCCCACCTTGCAAGAGGAATCTTGCTCAGGCGTCCCACGTGACCAAGGGGAGCCCAAGTGGCCTTGTGTGAAGTGGCCAGATCACCTGCATCCCTCAAACAACACCCGAATGCCTGCCCACAGCTCAGGGGACCCCATGGCCACTGAGTCCTGCACGGGGGCCCCTGACAATGTCTCCAGCCCCAGCTCACGCCATGCTCCCTCCCTTTGTGTCTGCTGTTCCAGTGGCCCAGAATGTCCTCCCACCCTTTCCCCGCTGCTGGCCCGTTACTCAGCTTGTCTGTCATCTCCTCAGAGAAGTACCTCTGACCTCCCTGATCAGGTCGGATCTACTTTTAATAGGCTCTTTTGGCACCAGGTTTCACTCTGTGGAGCAGAAATCTACATTTGAGCAATCACCTGGTTCCTACCCATCTTTGCCATTGGACTATAGGCTCTATGGCAGGGGTCCCCAATCCCTGGGCCGTGAACTGGTACTGGCCCATGGCCCATTAGGAACCGGGCCGCACAGCAGGGGGTGAGCTATGAGTGAGCAAAACTTCATCTGTATTCACAGCCGCTCCCCAGCGCTAGCATCACCGCCTCAGCTCCGCCTCAGATCATCGGGCATTAGATTCTCACAGGAGCACCGGTCCCTGGTGCCAAAAAGGCTGGGGACCACTGCTCTATGGGGCAGGGGCTAGGCCTTTTATTTTTCCTCTCACCATCATAACCTAGCACTCAAGGGAATGCCTGGCATTCAAGAAATATTTGGTGAATTAGTGAATGAACAAACAAATGAATAAATGAATATTAAAAACTGGACCAGAATCCACGCCCCTTGAAACCTGGTTTGGTGCTTTCTCAATACCAGCCTCGGTTTCCTCACCTGTAAACAAGGAAGAGTAGCAGGAGTGGGTCGTGCTCGACCCACAGTTCCCAGCCCTGACTGCGCATCAGACTCTCCAGGCAGCTCTAAAAAATACTCATGCCGGAGCCTTCCCCATGACCAACTAAATCAGAATTGCTGCAGGTGCAGCCGGGCACAACGAGCATGTCGTTTCAGCTTCCCGGGTTAAACTTCTAATGTATGGCCAGCGTTTAGACTGGGTTAGCCCGACTGCCAGTGTCCCTCCCTAAGGCAGACTGTCATAAATCCTCGAGTCTAGCGTTTTGTGCCCATCTTAGGGAGCAAGCTGATTTAAGGGCACGAAGGAAAGGCTTGGCGGTCACCGCCCCTCCACCTCAGTGACGCCTGCGGTTAATTTCTCTGGCTGTCATTTTAGTGAGTAGAAACCCAGAACCCCGATTTCCCCTCGACTAGCCCCATGTGACCTGCCTTTAAAGGCCAGTGCAGTCCCTTTGCTGCACAGTGTCCCAGGCCTGGCGGAGAGGGCCCTCAGGGCTCCGATGCTCCCCTGGCAGATGTGAACAGGCTGGGTAATGGCCCCCTGGGATGACAGCGGGAGGTGAACTGATTTACAGCCTTGCGAGGCCAAGAAGCTCCTGCTCACCACCTTTTAGCGTTTTCAAAGGACCATTGACTGTTTCAGACTCTGAAAGGCAATCTGATCTCCCACTGGGAAGAGCATAACCTCAGATGATGGGACTTTTCTCAATGATTTTACGGAGACGATTAACTCTTTACATGTCAGTGGCAAATCCACTGGCTCCTCCACCAGAGCAATTGTCGGCTCTGCCACCGTCACCTGGCCTGTCCTCTGGATTCTGACCTTCTAAGACTGTGGGCATTGCTCAGAAGCTCCATTCTCTCAATGGCCGGCCTCTGAGATCGCTTCTCCTCTAAACTCGACCAAGTGTGCGAACCTCAAGCAATGCCATTGCCAAGGCAATTACTGTCGCACTTCCCAAGGTGCAATTTACACGAGAGAGTTCAAGAGCAGCACGTTTGTTTAACCTGGCCTGATACGATGACCTATTTTTGCGAGAGGATATAAGGGCACAGATGTCTGAGAGAGTTTAATGCGATGAAATTATAGGCAAAGAGACCGGGGCCAAGTTTCAAGGCGGAAGGGGGAGGAAGCAAAGGAGTGAACTGCGTTTAAGAAATCGACAGTCTCTCCTGTGATGGCTCCACTCAAAAGGGAGCCGGCACGACTGTTTAACCAACCATCACCACGGAAGTGTCCAGTCTGGGCTGGCCATCCTTCTCCCCAGGGGCGGGGGAGAAGGGTTGAACCCCACTTGGGCGCCTCGCTGGAGTTTGGCCCAGTGCAAGCCTGTGGCTGCTGAGCCTCCCGCCACTGAGAGTTGGTTACTCAGGTCCTTTATCCACTTGCCAACTTCTATTCACCCTTCGAACTCAGCCTTCTCAGGCAAGCCATCCTGAACCCCACGCACCCCCAGATTAGACCCACCTTCCCAGTGCTGTTTCTTCACTTTGTAAACCCTCCTCTTTGGGGCACCTTTCCCATTGTTTTGTCATATCTGCTCCCCCCACTAAGCCGGCAGCATCTTGGAACTGGTAGGCAGGCAGGTCTGCGCTTTATTAATCCTGACCAAGTATGAGCTCCTGAGCCATCCGCGTGTCAGCCACAGGAGACAGGATCTCATTTCGCCATGAGGATGAGCGGGAGAGGTCAGTGTTGCCACCAACAGGCTCAGCGGGAGTGAGTAATCAATCCCCAGAGGTGCACAGGGCCAGCAGTCAGCCAGTGCTCAGGGAAAAGGTGTGTCGGGAGAGGGTCTGCCCACCAGCAGAGAACATAGGATCCCATCCCCCAACTCTGGGCCCACTTTGGGGTTCTCTGGGCTGGCAGTGTTGCATTTAGACTGATAGAGAGGAAACTTCAGTATCAGAGGCTTGTCTCAACACCTGATTTAGTTGGTATATATCCCAACAGAGCAAAAGCTGGTATCATCACTTCCTGGGGCCACGTTTCATTCCAGTTTTGCCATCGCCTGCCTTTCCACCCCTGCTCTGCAGTGTCCTCCTGGGGCCAGAATCCTGAGGCACAGGTAGGTCCTACAGTCATCTGGGTTTGGTACCTGTCACTATGGTCTGGGCAACACGGTGCTCCGTGGCTGCCAGTTCCCACTCCTGGCCAACCGGTTCAGCTGTCTGATCCAGCGGATGCTGCCTCCTAAATAGTCCTCGAATCCATCCACTTCTCTGCATTGCCACCGCTACCACCCTAAAGCAAGACACCATCATAGCTCCACTGGCTAGCCCTCGCCTCTCATGGAGGGTTGCTAGGCAAAATACAGGACGCCCCGTCAAATTTTAGATAAACAACTAATTTTTTAGTATAAGTATGTCCCAAGTATTGTATGGATATACTTATGCTAAGGAACAACTTGCTATTTATTTGAAATTCAGATTTTGCTGGATGTCCTGTATTTTTACTTGCTGACTCTGGCAACGTTACCCTCACCAGCCCCTTTGTCCCATACCTTGGCCTCCCTCTCAGAATCCATATTTCCTGCTGGAGCTAGACTGAGATTTCTAAAACACCCATCTGAAATTGTGTCATCTCTGGCTTAAAACCTTTGACAGTCCTCATAGCTCTCAGGATCAAGTCCGAACTGCAAGACATGATGTTAGTGGCTTACAGCGGGGGCCTTGGCGTCTCCGCTCCGGCCTCGGAGCTATTCCTTCCGCCTGGACACTCCACTCACATTTGCACCCTGGCTCCTGACTTCTTCTTGCTCACATCTTAGCTGAAGCACTATACCTGCGAGACTTCTCTGTCATTTCCACCAGGTCCCATCTCTAAGCTATTTGCTCCTGCTGAGCACTCTCTCGATAATTACTCATTTAATTATCTCTCTAGTGCTAGCTTGTCAATGCAACGAGGGCAGAGACCACCAAGTCCCTCGCACTTAACACAGGGCCTGGCAAACAGTAGGTGCCCAATAAATGCTGCCGAGTAAATAAGCAAAGCTGTAGTGACTGGCCAGAGGGGCAGGTCAGCATCGTTTGGGTCTGGGGTGGCACCTTGTCAGCACGTAAGGACTCAGAGGCCCGGATCAGAGTCTGTCTCCCTGACAATGGCTTTAGGACGCCCACAGAGATGATGGCTTCTGGCATCTTTTATGGAGACAGGCCAGCACCACAGTAACTTGATGAGACACACTCCCGTCACACCTAATAAATTTGCCAGCCTGTCATCCTCTTCGCTTGCAAAAAAGGAATCATCTGGAAGTGAACTTAGAAGAACCCTAAATCACAAAAGCTCAAAAGCTCAATTCCAGACACATTAAAGAGAAAAGGGGGGAGGCTAACAGTGCCCCCACCAACCTTGCGGCAATTTAAATGTCATCTGACTTTAATGATTAAGTTTCTTATCATCTCAGCAGCAGCCAGAGGCTTTGGGCTAATGTCAGGGTAGGAAGCTGGTGCTTTGGAGACCCCGGGTCTCTTGCTTCACCAATTATCCTATTAATTACGGGACTTTGTTATGTTGGGCTCACCCTTTCAAATATTTACGGCTTTGGGGGATTCTTCTGGCAAAACGCTCCTGAAAGCGCAGATGGCTCTGAGTTCCTTCTCTGTATTGGAGAAGCCCCTGTGACCTGACAGGTTTTACTGTCCACGTAAAGGGAAACGCGTGGCTTCGTGCACTCCCATCTTTCCTCTTCTGTCTGTCTCCTCGGATTCAGCTGTTTTGCTTAAAAACCAGATGATCCACCAGCCATTCCAACGCCCTTTTCCCTTGAATTCTCAGTCCTTATCAATCGTAGACTAATTTTTCCAGAGCCTCCAGCCAAGATTTTACCCATTCTACGTGTCTAGAGGATTCCTTTTCAAATTGATTTGCACGAATATTGATTTGCATTGCATAACAGCATCACACACACACACGCAAGTAAGGACACACTTGTGTGAGTACTGCCTGGCTGAAGGACACTGTTAAAAAACCGAGCTGCGTTCATAAAATTATTTCTTTTGGTGGTGGTGGGGAGGTGGTGGGTCTCCTGTTTCAATCCTGCTGGTTCACACGGTGGAATTCTAATCTCAGAGATGGACATCTCTGTTGTGCTCTACCCTAGTGAAAAGTCTTATGAAAAACTGTAAACGAATGAATATAAAAATGAAATCAACTTAACATCTGAGGTTCAACTAAAAGTCGAACGAGGGAAGCTGGTCCCAAACTGCCCGAGTGTTTAGAAGTGATAAAATCCTGCATCCTGAGGAGGCACAGCTGAGTTTAATAACTGTTGTTTCACACATTAAACAAAGCTGTCAATTCAGAAAGGAAAACAATTGTGAGACAGAGGCAAGCCAGAGAAGAGAGAAGACAGGCCTGGTGCTGGGGGTGGGCGGGTACCCTGGCCAGCCCACCCATTCGGCCAGCATGCTCCATCCAGCATTAGAGCCCCTGGTTCTCTCCCCGTGGCCACCAAGACCACCACCCAAGCAGGACTGGCCGAGCTGGTTCCCAGAAGGGCCCCATCACTTGGGATTGGCTCATGGACCCCAGCAGACTGGCAAGCAGTCTCACCCTGTCCTTTCTCCTTCGGAGTGTCATCTCCTACTCAGATAACCATATGAATAATCCCCAGTCCCCAAAATGCCACCAGGAGAACATGAAGCCGCAAATACTCAGAGTATTGCAATGCCCCAAACAGTAAAAACGTCCT